CTCCCCCCACATACACACATCACCTGAACCCTCCCCGACTCTTTTCCCACCCCTCCCCCTCCCATCACTGAAGCACCACAGGGAACATAACATAACAATCGCCGCTGTTTATTCTGACTTAAACCAAAGATCTATTGGTCACTTACCCCGGACCTGGTCCGCCAATTCTTGACCACGGTAATCAGAACGAGGTAATCGAATTTAGGAAATCGATACGCCTGGAGATATTCTGGTCACGGAATGGCCAGATTTCTGTAACAGAAAACGCTCATGCCTCGCCTAGAGAGAAGGGGCGAAGAAAACATGGTTCCTGGAGTTCTAACACAATGGGTTAATTCCCTTCTTGAACGTATTGTCTCCCTTGAATTGAAGTCTATTTTTATACCCGTGAAGAAACATAACCCACGTTGTAATCTGTTTCGGATTTTAAGCGTAAAGTTAGCGAACCGTAAAACAAATCAGCCCTTTATTGCCCATGAAATATGTATCCATGTCAAATTAGTTTGATTGAGGGTCCTATATATTCTGATAGCTTTTAAAGAATTCCATTCATGCATAAAAAAATTACAATTTATTCCACACGAATACTGATTACGTACCGGGTATTACTGATACTACTAGTTATAATAAACCTTAACTTAACCTTAATCCTGGTCCTTACCAAGTATAAACCTTAAGATAAGTGCTGTCTATATTGTTTAAGGCTTTACCGAGGAAGTAGTTTAAAAGTGTCATCCTTTAGGAGAAAACTCTATCTATTCTTATAGGTACCTGCGGGATATATATTTTAAAAGGCACTGTACATTCGACAAAGATGGGGTGAGAGGTATTAAAATATTGGTGGTTTCACGTTTTTTTTTATTTCCTTGTACACTACACGGTAAAAAAAAAAATTAAAAAAAAAAAGAGACAAACGAACACTAAAATCATATTTAAGAAGCCAAACATTTTATTTTAGCTCTCCCCCGCCAGCCCCATTCTATATAAAAATAAATAAAAATAACGTTAGCTCTCATGAAATGTGTATAAGGAACCGATGAACGAAGGGCACTTAACTCGTCCTCTGCCTTGCTGTTTTATGCTGTACGGTGCCCTGCAGACAATATCATTCCACTTGCCTTTTTACCTTTCTACAGCCCCTCCCCCCTCCCCTCCTCATTTAACCTCAGCTAAACACACTCTCTCAGATTTTTTTTTTTATTCGTCCTTCAAGAACCTCACATAATCTGAGATAAAGAACGCATAGGTCAGGTTGACATTTTCCCCTATAAGATCACAGCACTTTTAAGAAAAAATGTTTATTTTTGTTACCCTTTTTTATGAACTTGGTCACGTGAGATCTAAAAATAGTTTAATTATCTAGCTAATGTGTTATAATTTAAAGCCGTGTTAAAAACAATAAGATGAACTATTATAGAAATATTAATTATGAATTAATACTTAATGGTTTAAAAAATTTTATGATTAAAAAAACCTATTTTATAAAATGTTATGCTCAAAAACTGATTTTGGGTGATGTATTTAGCACTATGTTTTTGTAACTCAGCTACTTGGAACCAGTAAAGTGCACACGTTTTCGTACATTCTCACTTTAAACTGTACTTTTATAATATAAATGGGACGACCGACCTAAGCGGTAGAGAGCTAGGCTGCTAACCCGTAAGTCTCGAGTTCAGGTCCAAGTCAGTAGAATGTCCCTGAATCTACCCAGCTCTGATAAGTACCTAACTCAGGTGGGGCTGGGCAAAGTGCTGACCACAACTTCCGTTCATATGTCGAGGTCAAGAAACATATGAACTCTACTTCATCTTCCCATTGGATCGCTAGGTCTAAAGACGATTGTTATATTTTTTTATTATACCAGGTTAGCAAATGCAGACAAAGCAAATGAGGTTTTGAAAAGTTTACAATGTTACATTTGAGTTCTAAAGTCAATATAGAATGGACAGTACTCGAGACAGAAGAAGTAGAGTTCATCTGTTAACATCTTCTCGTTGTTAAAATAAACTCTGTGGTCAGCTTAGCCTATTGTTTTTTTTTTTTTTTTGTTTTTTTTTTTGTGTAAATAGTCAGTACAGACTTTACCGGTATGCTGAGTACAGGACAGGAAATGTAACGTTTTTTCATGTAAAAGAATCGCGTGCGAAACTGTGAGCTCAAACAACTCACCACAATCTTAACTTACCCTCAAGCGACCCCCCCACACACACACCCACACACCCTCACACCTCTCCAGTCAGCATCTAGCCTCACGTCGACCCGCACTTAGACCACACCATCTCTCCACTAATCTGCTTCCACTTCAATAGAATTGTCCCCCTTGGTGCGCGGGAATAAATTACTTCCCCTGAAGTCAGCTCATCGATAGAAAAAAGTAAAAAAGGAGAGGAAGGGATCAGAGGTCATATGACGTCAGACTCTGGACGTTGTGACATCACGCTGGCTGTTAATATCTACCCCTACCCCTCCCCCCCCCCCCACAAATCTAGATGTGGGGTTTTCATTGTAAACTTATGGAACTACCTGATATACTGTTTTGATCTTGTAAAGTTAAGTCACTTTGTATGAGTCTTTATGTAAGTATCTATAAAAAAAAAGAAAAAAAACCGCAGGACATTTAGTTACATTCACGATGTTTCTTTTAAATACACATATGGCTGATATTATCAAAAATCTTTAAAAAAAAAAAAAAAAAGAAAATTAAATTAAATATACGTTTCTGTTGACTGTCAATATTCCAAATACTCATAATAATTATTTACTGTAGGACATTTCGTCATCATCATCATCATTTCTCTACGCCCATTGCCAAACGAAGTCTCAATAAGTGAACATCATTTCGTCCCATCTCTAGCTATAACCTCCACATGATGGAATGTTAGATCTGTATTTCAACTCATTCTCCATTCATCATCTCCATGTTTCTTTATGAACTCTACTTCATCTGCCCTATGGATCGCTAGGTCTAAAGAGGATTCTTTACTTTTATTTTCGTATTTCTTCGGGCCTCCTTTCTCAGTATTACCATAAGCTGTTTTAGACGGTAGCATAAAGAACGTATTCACCGTGAGCTTTGAAGGTAAGGCAATACGTTTGTCATGGGAATATACCTGCGATATTGTGGCTGAGTATTGGAGTGTATTGAACTTGAATGGAACAAAGCTGTAGGGTTATTTATGTGAGTCGGGAATGGGGGGGAGTGTGTATGGGTGGGGGGGGGGTGGATACGAAGCTTATTAGAACTAGTTCTACTTAGCATGAATTTATTTCTTTATATGTCTACATTTCCGTAGCACGCGTATCGTATGTTGACATCAGCCAGATTTCATTGTTTATCGAATTTTAGAATGAGTTGTAATCTAATTTTGGTTAATAATCTTAATAATTCATTAAGACATCAAAACTACACAAAAACGTAACTGATACAACAGAATCTGTTTTTTATAGATAAACTTATTTTTGCGTACTCTCCCTATCCAAATCATACTTCTAATATTTTAAATCAGAGTTTCTTCCAGGCATCTCTTCGGGGGGGGGGGGGGGGGCAGAGCTTCGAACGAGATGGAATTTATATAGTAAACATATACTTTTACTAGTGTCCGCCCCCCCCCCCCGGAAAATGTTGACCGCCCCGCCCCCCGAAAATATCAAGTGCCCCCCCCCCTGGAGCAAAAAGTCTGGAAGAAACACTGTTTTAAATTCTTTTGATATGTGTTATTGTTTATATATTTAGAATATCACAAGCTTCATACTTTCAATTTAACTTTCAACTTATTCTAATATTCATCAATCGCAATTTCGGTAAACATTTTGATAATTAAATATTGTCTGTGATAAAAATTTAAAACCTCTCGCAGATGAAATGTTTTTTTGTTTTTAGCACAACTTATTTGAACGATGTATAGGCTATTGCGTCAACCACTGTTGACTTCACATAACATTGTGGGGAGGGGGGAATAGTGAAAGGTCACACCACATATGTAGTGTAGCATTATGTTATGTTGGGGGTAGGCTGGCTATAATGATGTTACATAGCAATTACTGTTTTAAAAAAAACAAAAGTGGTAAAGCCAAGCTTAACATTTCAGGCATTTCCCTCCCTCCCCCGAAGCATGTACCCCCCCCCCCTCCCCCCCCCCCCCTATCAGTCAAATTAATGTAAAACACATATCCTTTTACTAGAGTCCGCCCCCTTTCCCCCCCCCCCCCCCCCCGGAAAGTTTCAAGTGCTTCCCAACCTCCCCGGAGAAAAGTCTGAAAGAAACACTGAAGCATAACAATAGGGCCTACTTATTTGTTTACAATTGTTTTATGCCCTGCACGGGAGGGGTAGTAAATTAATAATATCGCAAATTCATTGAGTGAAAGGCTATTTCTTTTTTAAAACAAACATCGGAACAAAGAAAGAAGTGGGGGCTAAATTAGGTGAAAATGAACTGACGTCATTTATGGACAACCTTTAGCTGATTTTACAAGCCTCCTATGGAGTTTCTTTTGCATCGGTGCACATACAACCCGTTTTATCTTTGAACACTTTTTCCACACACTCTTCACTATTTTTAAAAATGCATTGTGTTTTATTTCTGCATTTATCTGAATGATTTAAATGACACTTTATAATTAGTTTACTAGTTTGCAATTAGCTGTTGCATTTAATTTTTTTTTAAATTAGTTTGACTGCAAAAAAAATAAATATGCAAGTTAATTTACTAGTTATAGTTTATTTTAGTTTATTGCTTGTTGATTAGTCGTACTAATGTATTCCAATCTTTAGTAAAATCGATTACGATTCTTTTATGCTCAGAATTACCCCTGAGTTTTGAGTATCGTAATTAGTTATTTACGATACTAAATTAATGACTAAAAAGCGTTACGACTAATTAATAAGAACCATTTTTTTCTTCTTGATTGAGCCCCTGATTTCTTCTAAGCATGCCCCCCTTTTAAAGCATTTCGTTTTTTTTTATTTTTGCCTCTTTTTGAATGTAGAACTTAGCCTGACATGACCTCCTCACACCTCAACTGTTTTGGGAAATCAAAGCTATGTCAGCATGTGAACACTTTACCCAGAATGCTTGGCGACCTGACCTTTGCTCCACTTGTCAACGGGCCAAGTCAGAGCACGAGGGCGTGGCGGGTTCAAGGTCGTCCTGGCGCAGGAGAAGCGAACCCAACCCGAACAACGCTATAACCGGGGTGCGCATTTCGGCGCTCGCGAGCAAGTTTCAAGGCAGGGAAACAAGAAGTGGGAGTATACCGGAAGACGAGCACGAACGGGCGAGAACTCTAGGTAACTTTGACCGGAATTTGGTAATGGCTGTGTTAGGGGACTTTAAAATAATAAAGCCATCGTGGCGACAAAATCATATAATATAGATCTAGAATCTATATTAGTATTAGCCTTAATTAGCTAAAGAGTAGATCCAGATCCTAAGACTTAGATTTTCAGTTTCTTTAAGTCATCTTTTGCCCCCTCCCGAATACTCCCCACCCCCCTCCCGGAGCACGTACACTGCTCCCCCCCCCCCCCCACGACGAAATAGAAAAAAAAGTTTAGAATAAGAGTAATAGCCTATAGATCTAGTATAGTGACAATAAGGGGACATCCATAAATGACGTCAAGCTTTTTGGACGATTTTTACCTCCTTTCTCCCCTACGTCATACATCTTCACAAAAAGCGAGATCCACCCCCTACCCCATTAAAATGACGTCACACCTTAGCCTCGAAAATGGAGTTGAATTTTTCTTAAAACATCGATTTTTTTTTTTCTCTAAAATGTCGACAGCGCTCAGTCAACATAGAGTATTTTAATCAATTCCTATTACAATTTATTAAAACAGTTTTCTAAAACATGAAATAACAGCTAGAATTCGTTTTCTAACATTATTTTTATAATGCTAATGTGTGATGTCATACTATCCGAACCCCACACCCCCTCTCCCTCATCAAAAATTTCTGAAATAAACACTGTTAGATTCTTTTCTTGTAAAAAATTTTGGCCTTTTGTATTTATTATTTAAGTCTAGGTTTATTTATCTGCTTGGTAAAAAAAAAATGGGAAATATAAGAGTACAAAAGTAAATAGTATTGGCCCAGTTTGTTGAGAAGATACACTTTGATATAGGCCTACAGTAGCAAGTGTATCAGAACAAGCTGTTAATTATTAAACCAAACAAGGTTATGCTACCACAATGAAAAAACAACCAAAGATTAGAAAATTCTAAGCCCAGCCCCACCAAAGCATGAGTTTCTTTCAGGCCTTAGCTACCTAGAAATTAGAAATAATTTATATAGTGCACTTTTCTTTGGCTTGCTTAGCATATGCTGTTTTTTTTTTCCTCAACAAAACCATTAACTATCACTTTTGTTAAATAGACTTACTTTTTGCCAAATTGTTTATGAACTTAATTTTTTCCATTCAAGGAATCTAGACCTAAACATTCATCAATTGACTCTACAGTCAAAGCCTACATGTTTTTTATTCTTGGTGTTTAATGAGTTCTTTAAAGTGATAAAAAATTAAGCTTTTAATCCATCATGTTTTTGTTTTAAAAAATTCATACTTAAAACAATATATTAAAAATTATTACAATAAAGTCATAATTATTTTTATCTATAGCTTTTAAGTATAACTTTATTAACATTTATGCAAATCATAATTATTATGTTAATATTGTTCAAATATATTTTTCAATTCATCCATCAGGGAAATAAATTTCTTATGACATGTTACCATGGAAAATTCAAAATCAAATAACATCCCTTTTTAAGAGCCTTCTATTATTGAACACTGGTATAAACAATCCACCATTAACTTAATAAACAAAATGTTTTTACAAATACTGCTACTTTACCTCCATCTACGTGTTACTTTAACTTCAAATTTAGATCTATGTAGTAATTTAAAGATAGCATCTATTTGGTTTTTCATATTATATCAAACTTAAACTTATTATAACCACAATGTCTTCATTGTAAACTGTAACAATAAAAGGAGATGTAATAGGTCAAACATGAAACTATAATTACAAATAATGTAAACTCATGTTAGGGTAAGTAGAGGCAGCTGGGCATAGTGCTGACCACACTATCCTTTCATATGCTGATTTCACAGAAACCGGTAAACTCTAAGTCACTTGCCCCTTGAACCATCACATTTGGAAAGGGAATATGACTTTTAATGTAAAGGAGCACCCCACACACAAAATACAAATTACACACAAGCTTTTGCTTATTAGAAGAAACGTTGCACTCCCCTCCCCAAATTAGCATCAAACTTTATACCTTTAATAACCTTTAATAATCATTTTGTAAAATAGAATGTTGTATGTTTTTAGACACACTTATTTTCTGTTTTCTTTTAATATATAGAGTGGATATATTCTAACAATATAACTAATCTGAAAATTCTGATTGATATATCTAGTTAGATTTGTACTGAATCAGCTACTTCCTTGATACGATGTTAAACCAATTTAACAGGTTTTAGCAAACGTAGTAATCTACACTTTAAACATTAATTTTTAACTATCACTCTATCCTTTGTCTTTGTTTTAAATTTTCTCTATTTTTTTTCAGATCGTAAATATGTCAAGGCGAAATCTGGTGAAAAGAAACTGAATGTTTCTCGCTCCACTGATTTACTTGATGCTGCTGCATCTTCCACTTTGTCAGTAAGTGAGAGACTGTCTTCTTCTTCAACCAGCGCAATCACATCCACACAAAGCAAGCCGTCGTTCAACTCGTCCAAGAACCCAGAATCAAATCATGGTGTTCATACCACTACCCCAGTAGCTACTTGTTCTGCTTCATGTGAGTAGGATAATTTCATGTTAGCATATACAATTTTTAAAAATATTTACTTAACATGTTTTTACAGCTTTGTTGGGGGGGTTTTCCAGTTAAGCATGTTTTCACTTCATCAATAGAATGTTTTAAATTATGCACTTGAAAGTCTTAAGTATTTCAATTAAATAAATATTAACAGTTTAAAACTAATACACTTACTTATTAGAAGATTACATTTTATGCAGGAAAATGTGATGTTGCAATAATTATTTGGAATTAGCTATTTCTTCTCTTCAACGTACATTTCGCTAACTAAGTTTGAACCTAAACTAAATTTTATTATTATGTTTATTTTCTATTCATTTACTATTGGCAATGACAACTGGCTCATATGCTAATAAAAAGTATACATTTACATGACTTTTATTCTTAAACCTTCAAACTTTTTTTTTAATTTACTTAATTTAAGACAATAATTATAATATATTTCAACTGTCAAGCATTTCTTGTTTTTAATTAATGGTTTGGTAGGTTAGAAAACAGTTTGTTTATGTGCTTGAAATTATTTGTTGTGTTTTGTTTTATTTTTTTCAAACTTTCAGCTTATAATATTCACGAATCATAGGTTCAGAAATTATTTTGTATTTTAAAAATTATTTTAATATTCAAACTCATTTTCCTAAGGTTTTATTTTTAACTTAAGCTCTCTCAACATCCATAAAACAAAAATCTTTAAACTCTAATTTTTTTGGTGTCTTTTTTTTTAAAACTTGCAGCTGTGTCATCGTCCTCAAAACCTCCAACAGATGCATCCGCCCACAAGAGTATCACCACCCAGCCCCTAACCACAACAAAGACTAGGACAACAGTCCTCACCAACAACCAAAAACCTTCAACGAAATCTTCCACCCAGCGCTCCGCTAAAGACTCTCCGTCATCCACAGCACCACCTGCCACTGGTACAACCACTAGCGCTGTTAAAGTCAGCACCGTCACCAGACAGACTCTCAGCAACGGCGCCGGAGTATCCGCAACCTCCGCGGTTAAATCCGCAAAACAGGATCCCGCATCGGTGCAAACATCGTCAGTACTTAAAACATCAAAACTTGTCGAACAAGGTAGAAAAAACGACAAGTCATCGAAATCCAAGACTAGAAGAGTCAGCATTCCAGATTCTGAGCCTGAGGTTATTGGCACTGATGGAGGTTTAGACAACCTATTCCCTGAAGAGGAGGTTGTCCACTCGGGAGAGGATACAGACAATGCTTACCTGTCCTTGACGGATGAAGAGAAACAATTTGCACTGTTGGCTTTGGGGAACACAGTCTGGAATTCAGATACTAGGAATCTTCAGGTAATATTTGATGGAATCAATTCACTTACAGTTTTCTTTAATCTGTAGGCTTTGAAGAGATGCTCAAAATGTATTCTAATCACAGACGTTTGATTTTAGACTCTTTGATCCTAGTTTGATTAAGAAAGATTACAACAAAATTACATCTTTGATTAGAAAATTACACATTTATAAATCTCTTTTTTTTTAAAATAAAATTCCTGTTTTCTATTAGTTTTATTTTAAAATATTATAAAAACCTGTTTGCAAAGATGCCTAATAAAAAATTACCTGTTTGGCAAAATCTACGCTTTCTTAAAAATAGAGAAATCTCTCAACATAATCAAGGAGTGTTTTAAAAAAATGTTAATTAAGATTTCAGATAAAGATACATCAAAATAAATTTTCCACAATTTTTTAGTCATAACTTTTATTTTAATTTTGTATTTGTTGTATGGCGGCATATAAAATCTAGTTCTGTGTTGTGTTTTCAAATCTTTCTTTAGATGTCTTTTTTTTTTTAATTTCTTTGTTTAAAAATTGATTACCGAAGTCTTATTTGTTCAATAAAGTTGTGATTCACTTCCCTCTGAAAATTCAATTTTTTTTTGTTACTACTTTCAGGTAGAACCAGAAAATGCTAAACGAGCATGCAGGGAGTTTGAGGACCTAGAAATTGACCAGCTTTTAACAAAAGAAAGGTTTAAGACTCTAGTAGACTGTGACGCTGTCAAACACCGCACAGATTTCGGAACATTTCCTCAGATCAGCGGAACCAAGCAGACAAAGCTTTCTATAGAAAGTGTGAAATTTAATTCCGACAGTTGCAGGAGCATTGAAACTGTGGCAGAAGTTTCCAAATGCATCAGAAAGGTGGAGAAATCGTGCGATGTTCTTAATAAAAAAAGAGGCACCGTCTCCTCAACGCCTGATTCCAATGGTCAGTCTAAAAGTTCTGGTCATTCTAGTGTAGAAAGATTGAAATCCGCCGGCTCGTCCGGCACTTCAGGGAATTCCTCAATGACTTCTTTAAGCTCCGACAGTGATTGGAAAGGGAATTATGGGTCTAGTTCAGGAAGCGGAGACTCTGGTGTAGAAATGGGACCAGGTATCGGAGACAAAGAACGTCCGTTGTCGTATACGGTTGGGGATATCACTGACTGTCTGTACGAGACACCGGATGAGGTTGGTACCAAGACTGGAGATACCAGCGCCTACCCTCATGCTAAATCCCGCAGCTCGTCTAGTACTGAAAGAAAAACAGCGAGCAATTCATCAACTGCTAAACTAAATCAGCAGAACGATAGTATGATAAGCTCAATGGGGTTTTCTTTAGAGGCAGAGGATGTAAGGAACTTAGAGCTGCTGAATGATTCCACTACAATGGAAGGACTGCAAGCAATTGCGCTTCTTAATGATGTCTTAAAGGATTACAGTGATTTCAATGAGTCGTCTACAGATGACTACGATGGTAAAAAGGATCCTTTAAAAGGGAAAAAGTCTTCAGACTTTGAAGCAAGAATGGCATCAGTAGCTGCAAATCTTGATTTAACAAAGCAACAAAGAGCCAAACGGCAAGCACCAAGACCTCCAGTCTCCCCTCCCCCAGAACCAACCTCTGCTCAAGCAATATCTCCGAAAAAAGTCGCAAACCAACCGGACCCAGTTTTCAAAATGGTGCCGGTTGGTAAAAGTATTGTAACGATTCCACCGCAACAAGACATTCCAAAATCGACCAAAACCCCACAAGGTCCAGTCGGGGTGGAGGAGTACATAGCCGCGTCGGACAACGGCGAATCACTAGCCAACAGGATGAATGGTGACGGTAAAGGTAAGAAGGGGATCACGTCATTCTTTCGGAATATTCTCAGACGTGGGAAAGATTCTTCTGAAAGTTTTGAATCTTTAAATCCCGATGTCCAGTTGATTGCCAAACTTGAAAGGAAAGACTCCACAGGTACGCCTGTGAGCAGTAGTAGTCTGGACATTGCGGACGAGGACGTGACCTCGTCGTCTGTTGATAAAAAACCAGGACCAAAATTGTCTCAGCCGTCTAAAGTTTTAGTCATTCCGCCATCTTCGGTCTCCCCCCAGCACAAAGGCGGCACAACGCCTGTCAGCGGTGACGGTTCTCAAACTATTCCTAAAGATCCGGAAACAATCTCAACCACCGCATCCATATCCTCTGCTGCTGCATCCAACGCCACCACCCCCGTCTCCGCCAGCCCACCCACTCAAAGAAAAAAGGGCTTAGCCAGCCCTAAGATGATGTTAAAGAAAGCCACCGCTAAATTCTCACCCCCTGTATCAAGACACCAAACCAAACCTATAGAGAAAGACCTTACTGATTCCACCCTGCCCAAACCATACCCCGCACCCAAACCTGCCGTACCGCCACCATCAAAACCACCGGTCACATCTACATCAACACCTGCGTCTACAGCAGCACCTGTCCCTACCTCTAAAGAAACCAGCCCATCCAACACTAAAGAGAGAGAGACAACAGCTGCTCCAAATGTGGTCAAGCGGAGGCCAAAAAGTCCTAAAAGGACCGCTCCACCTGTGCCACCTTCAAGGACATCTGTAGGACAAGGTAGGACTTCAAATTCAAATATTGTATACACTCTGTATGTTCTAAATTATAATGTCTGTACTGAAATTTAACAAATGACTGTATTAACTCACTCTAAGTAGTAGCCAAAAAGTTAACAAGACCGTTAAGTGAAACGGTATAGCTAAAACATTTATTTAAAAATAAGAATAATTCAAAACAGCAATATTCAGAGTTTCTTACAGGCATCTTTTTGAAGAAAGTCTACCGCCCCCCAAATGAGATGGAATTTATATTGTAAACATATACTTTTACTAGTGTTCGCCGCCCCCCCCCCCCCCTGAAAATATCAAGTGCCCCCCTGGAGAAAAAGGTCTGGAAGAAACACTGGCATTATTCATTATTATAGCTGATATATCTGATAAATTAAGCCATATATGAGCCACAAGCTGAAAGTGCTTGAAACAAACCTAGAAAATAATAGAATGTCATAGAACCAGCATGAAAGAATTGCCTAGTGTATAATGGAGAGATGTTATTGCATCCTTGTTCACCACAAAGGATCACAAGAAATTATTATTTTTGTGCTTATATTAATTCCTTTACAAATCAAAGTAGGAATCATTGAGATTCAATTAGTATGGTATTTTAAAAATATAAAAACAGAATTTGAAAACAATGGTGACTGGGAAAACTATTAGACTAGCTTAACATGCTAGACATATATGGCTGACCACTGACTTGAAACTGACCCCATGATCAAACCACTGTCCTTAGGAAAGTCTGCCCCGGCGCCTGATTCTAGAAACACAGATTTAGCTCGGGAGTTAGAGTGGCGTCTTAACAAGGCCGCCACTGACCAGTCAGGTTAGTGTGTACTGGTCAATCAACACTCCAGTCCTCAATTGTTTATTTTAGTTGCTTTTCCCTTGTAATTGTTTTTATTTTTCATGAACCTTAACACCAGAAGTTAGCTTTTATTCTGTTATTTTTTTATTTTATGTGTTTCTTATTTTATATAAATCCTAAAACCAGCTTTTCATCTAATATGTTGTTTCTTTTTAGTTTTTCGTTTTGTACATTAACCTTGAAATCAGCCCTTGACTTTTTATTCCCTTTTAATTAAAAACAAATTTTTTACAAATTTTAAGACCCGTAACTCAAAGCTAACCTTTAGAATAATGCTACTGCTGTTAACATTTAAATTCAACATTGAGAAATATATCAAATATTATTTTTCAGTAGGCCTGTTTTTGTAATGATATAAATTGCACTTGCTAGGCTATTTAATAATATAATCCAATATATCCAATAGATTAAATGATAAAATACTTTGTTCCATTCATGTGTTTAATAAATATTTTTACTAACTCCAGTTTTAATCAAAATTAAGTAATAGTATTTTCTTAATAATATTTTAAATGAAACTGCTATGTCAAAAGAAATTTAAAAAAACAACAGGACTGATAATAAGAAATTATTAAGCTTGTGAATCCACATTTTATATATACCAATGTATTCATATTAATTTTTACAGATAATTTGTTTTAAATAATATAATACTTATTGTTTCTATTCATAGGTTATTATTTGGTAATGGAGTTCTTTTGCATGCTATTGTCAATTGCTTTTTTATTTTTTTTTTACAGCTGCATGTTTATTTAATTTTATTTTTTAATAAAATAAATAATCATAATGTGAAATTCTTAGAATGTACTACACGCCATTAATGGTTATCTTATTAATATATATATATATATATATATATATATATTTGTATGTATATGTATATATATATTTGTATGTATATGTATATATATATATATATATATGTATGTATGTATATATATATGTGTGTGTGTGTGTGTGTGTGAGCTTATTTATGTATTTACTTATTTATTTATGTTACTGATTGCATGGCAGATTTTATTTGTATATTTATGTACACATTTAAGGGCATGGGCGGGTGATGAGTACCAACTTCCTTATTTCCGAGTCTAAAGATGTAATACTTGGCTAATAGTTATAACTCAAAGAGATAAGCATAAAAATATTTTTTTTTAATTTTTTAAATCCTCCGTTGCCATGGTGACGGCGGCCATATTGGATTTTATTGACGATTTTTAAATGGAAATAACTCAAAAATGGTTTGTACAAATTTCATAAAATCTTAATACATTCTGGAGACACATGTGTTTAACACTTCCTATTGATTACATTTTCAAAAAAGAAGATAGTTTATTTTTTACTTTTTTTTCCCATACATCACTGTAAAAATTTCATTATTTCGTCCAATTTTTTCACTATTTCAACAATAAAAAAAAATTTTTTTTAAATTTCCAAAAGTGTTCAATACGTTTTATTTGAACATATATACAGAGTAACTGGAAAAAATTTAGTTCAGTTCTGATAATTATTGACAAAGTTATTTCAATAATTGTTCACAAAAGTATCAAACTGAGAAAAACGCAAAAAACCAACAAAAAGTTGCAAAAAAAGAACATTTACAGCTGTATGTCACTAAAATTGACCACATTTATTGCCTGAAGTATGGTGCTGCTGAATATATTCCTTCTGAGCTTGTTCAGCTGTTAGTTTCCTTTTTTTCTGGCTTTCTTTGTTTTACCTAGAGCTGTAGTAAAGCTGTTGCGAAGGCGTCTTTTTTGGCGTCCTTCACTAAGTCTTTGACTATGGTTTCCTTCTTTTGACAGCAATGCCATAGCATGCATGGGCCCAATACTGAATTATGCTATCGCAGAAACAGCAGTATATTTTGCATGGTCTCGTGTCTAAAGCCAATTATGATAAGACGATGTCTTTGTTTATTGTGAATGGCCTTGTTGTGGATTCTTTTGCAGTTGTATACTTACGGTTTACAACATTTTATTACTGCCACACCATGCTTGAAGCAAACCCTTTACACTTTTTTCACCAATAGTAGCCGCTACATCACAGTTACACTCTTGGCAAGGAAATGTATTGATAACATCAAGAAGCAAATCACAGTCGACAATAATTCTGCATGGCTGTTGTTTACTACCATACTAGATGTAACAGTGCTTTCTTCTGTCTGTAAAAACTGTCTTACATTGCCGCAGTTTCTTAGTAAATGTGCATATTACATCTGCACCAGTGCTTGTCTGAATAGTGCTAGATTGAGTAGAGGTAGACTCTAGATGCAATCAGTTGCATTCGGACGTGCCCTTGCTTTAGTAAATTCGTTAGATGTGTGTATCTATTTTTAGCGAGTGTTTTGTTCTACCCATTATCGAAAGAGAAACAAACTAAATCGTCTCACTGCTTATGATAATTCACACAAACTAATCTAAACTGTTAATAGTATATTTAATTTAAATAATTATATGTTAAAATAATGTAAGTATTTCACAGAAGCTTAGAGAAACAAAACTAGATCAAACTTAGCAACGCGCTGAAACTAAGGGAATGTTTACTTACGAAGCGAAACGACCAATCGCTAACTAGCTTCCGCCGTTGAATGCCAATGAAAAAATTGAGGTCAAAAATTTGCATACCGGAAAAACCCGAATGAGTAAAATAAACAACTTTATGACGTATAGAAATAATCACATTAAAATAGGTATTTTGATTGGTCCTTTAATTTTAGAACAAATAAAGAAAGGAGGTCACGGCCTTTCCATTGATATGAAACACATTAGGCTTCCGCAAAATCTAATAGTACTTTTCTAGGTCGAAAAATGGCTATTTTTACCGAAAAAGTGATCAAATTACCCTGAACACACTACTTTGAACCCGGTTTTTCATAAATAAATAATGTTTTCAGGGTCATAACAATGTCATTTTTAGATTCAACGATGGTTATTCTGTATAGATCAAGTAAAAGTGGGAAATCGATGATTTAGTGGATTTATGACGAAAAGTACACCCGCCCATGCCCTTAAATATTTATTATTAAAGGGATGCTCTGATTATATACACATACAATATTTAAAAAAAAAATTAAAGTAGAATTTCTTTCCTTAAACTTTTCCGCTCCTAGATTTGTAACGTCTACTTTTGAATTGCCAGGTTGTGGAACCCTAACCAGGGAATCCCGCAGGTCCATGCCAGTGCCACCCTCCCCTCCTGGAGAACGCAAGGAGAAAACCTCCACGGGGCAGTCCCCTCCCATCTCGCCCATCCACGAGACAGAGAACTCCCTCCCCTCCTCCCCTTCCTCCCCCGCGGGGACCTCGTTTGATTTTGTCAACACAGAGTGGTCCGGTGGGTCCACTTCCACCATTGACGACGACCTCCCAAAGTTCACGGAGAAGATTGAGCTGCCAACGGTGGCCAACCCAGGAAGGAAAGGATTTCTGGGAAAGCTGGGAGGGAACAGGAAGAACCGAGCCCCCCAGCCGCCCTCAGTTAAACGTGCCAAATCCATCACGGAGTCGTCTACCTTGCCAAGGGGAGATAAGAAAAGCAAGAAAATTAATGTGGCAGATATTTCGGGTCCTGTGGTAAGTTTTCAAGCAGCTTTGTTAAAATTTGAGTTGAACAAAAATAAAACAGATTAAAATACAGCCTAGGCAGAAAAGATGTAGTTTTACAAAAAATTTTTAATGTAATTGTACATCAAAATATGTACTAAAAAAGTGACTGGTAAGTAGGCTCCATGTAGCTATTTAAAACTAAAACTTTATCAGCTTTGGTTACATTGTTTTTATTTCTTCAAACAAGTTTATTACTGTACCATTTTCAATTTTTTGTTTGTTTCTTTTCAACAGTTTAATATTTTCATCATTAAAGTTTGGTTTATAAATTTAAAAAAAAAAATTATTGTTATTAATAGAACCCTAACTGGCCTAATGATCCATGAGCAGATAAAATAGAGTTCATATGTTTCTATGCCAGCTCAGTAGCATAGTGAGGGGGGGCAGGGGGCGCCAAAATGGGTTGGAAAAATAAATTGAAAGGTTGAGGAAGTGCAAATCGAAATCTTGATGGGGGGGATGCAAATCGAAAGTTTGTCCCCGGGCGCAGGGAAAGGTCGCTACGCCTCTGTCCCAGCTGCCTTTACTTTCCCTATTATGAATCAGGTACCTATTAGAATTGGGTGGACTCACCCATGTCCAACCATACCGAGATCCGAACTCAAGACTATTGGTTTATCAGTCAAGATCTCTACCACTTGGACATGTTTCTTTAAGGTTTAGTTTTTTTTTTTTTTAATTTTCAAATTAATGTTAATTGTAATGTTTAAGTAACATCACAGTAACTGGGTTAAAAACATCAATAATTTAATGTATAATAATATGTATCTTAATAATACAATTATGTCCATAGGTGGATTTTTTTTTTTTGGGGGGGGGGGGGGGGGGGGGGTTGGGGGTAGCTATCACTTTATGTAATTCAGGAGATCTGTCCATTATTTATACAAATCTATATAGAAACTTAGGAACAGAAATACTAATATAAAATATTTTTAAATTAGAAATAAGAAAATTTGTTTATCTTTTTATAGAACTACGTTTTTTTCCAAACTTTCCCCCTCATTTGTTATGGGAGAGGGGATAAAGCCCCTTTAAAAAAACTGTATTATCGAGTATCTAATCACATAATATGGTTTTGCCTAGAGGTAGAGCATTAGACTACTAACCCAAAAGTCTCTAGTTCGAATCTTGGTTCAAGTCAGTAGAATGTTCCTGATGGGTACCTAACTCACAGTATGGGTTTAGTGCTGACCATACTATTCCTTAGTATGCCAAAGTCACAGAAACAGATGAACTCTACTTCACTTGCTGCATGGACTATCAGGTTTGTAAAGAGAACTATACTTTACTCAGTACAGAAAATAAAAACATTTTGTTTTTCTTCTAGTTGGTGACTGACATCACAAACAGCAGAGTGTTGGAGAACAGGAGGAACACCATCTCACTTGGGGACGAGCCAGCCTTTCATACAGGTCAGTACATGGATGTTCTGTTAAACAGTTGACATTCTGAGTGTAGACATTGTTTTTAACTGCTGTTTTTAAATAAAGTGTTCTCTGTTATTTAACCAGCCTTTCATACAGGTCAGTACAATAATGTTCTGTTCAATAATTGCAGTTGATTTCATACATTGTTTTTAAGTGCTGATTTAAAATCTATTGTTTAGCCAGCCTTTCATACAGGTCAGCACAATAATGTTCTGTTCAACAGTTGACATTCTGAGTGTAGACATTGTTTTTAACTGCTGTTTTTAAATAAAGTGTTCTCTGTTATTTAACCAGCCTTTCATACAGGTCAGTACAATAATGTTCTGTTCAATAATTGCAGTTGATTTCATACATTGTTTTTAAGTGCTGATTTAAAATCTATTGTTTAGCCAGCCTTTCATACTGGTCAGCACAATAATGTTCTGTTCAACAGTTGACATTCTGAGTGTAGACATTGTTTTTAACTGCTGTTTTTAAATAAAGTGTTCTCTGTTATTTAACCAGCCTTTCATACAGGTCAGTACAATAATGTTCTGTTCAATAATTGCAGTTGATTTCATACATTGTTTTTAAGTGCTGATTTAAAATCTATTGTTTAGCCAGCCTTTCATACAGGTCAGCACAATAATGTTCTGTTCAACAGTTGACATTCTGAGTGTAGACATTGTTTTTAACTGCTGTTTTTAAATAAAGTGTTCTCTGTTATTTAACCAGCCTTTCATACAGGTCAGTACAATAATGTTCTGTTCAATAATTGCAGTTGATTTCATACATTGTTTTTAAGTGCTGATTTAAAATCTATTGTTTAGCCAGCCTTTCATACTGGTCAGCACAATAATGTTCTGTTCAACAGTTGACATTCTGAGTGTAGACATTGTTTTTAACTGCTGTTTTTAAATAAAGTGTTCTCTGTTATTTAACCAGCCTTTCATACAGGTCAGTACAATAATGTTCTGTTCAATAATTGCAGTTGATTTCATACATTGTTTTTAAGTGCTGATTTAAAATCTATTGTTTAGCCAGCCTTTCATACAGGTCAGCACAATAATGTTCTGTTCAACAGTTGACATTCTGAGTGTAGACATTGTTTTTAACTGCTGTTTTTAAATAAAGTGTTCTCTGTTATTTAACCAGCCTTTCATACAGGTCAGTACAATAATGTTCTGTTCAATAATTGCAGTTGATTTCATACATTGTTTTTAAGTGCTGATTTAAAATCTATTGTTTAGCCAGCCTTTCATACTGGTCAGCACAATAATGTTCTGTTCAACAGTTGAAGTTCTGATTTCATACATTGTTTTTGTATTCTACTATTTAGCCAGCCTTTCATACTGATCAGCACATGGATGTTCTGTTCAAGTTGGCATTCTGTTTCATACATTGTTTTTAAGTACTGATTTAAAGTGTACTGTATTGTTTAGCCATCTTTTTATACAGGTCACAATACTGCTCTATTTCATCTGTTGGCGTTCCAATTTAAAACATCGTGAACTTCTAATTTAAAAAATTGTGTACTATGTATTTATTACTTTCCTCTATTTTGACATTAGAAATTCTGATTTCAAAAAAACATTTTAAACAATTATATACTCTTTTAGTGAGTGAATCTTACATGCAGGTGAATGCTGATTTCTTCCACCATTTAAATTTCTTGTTTTTAAAATTATGTACTCTTTTATTAGTTTTTTTTTTAAGAATTTCACCACTTTAGTAATATGAGGTTGTTTTGAGATGAACCTTTGTGAAACTTAAAAACTTGAAAAATCTGGGTTTTTTTTTTAAATTGGAACTAAAACATATGTACCCCATTTATAACATCAATATATAACCAAACTTTGAAAATTAAACTTTAATTAGTATAAGCTTTTATTACACAACAATTATAACATCATTATATGACCAAACTTTGTAAATTAAAGTTTTATTAGTATAAGCTTTTATTACACAACATTTATAAAATCAATATATGACCAAACAATTAAACTTTTATTAGTATAAGCTTTTATTACACAACATTTGTATTCAAATTAGCATCTTGTTAAAGTGTGTCCATATTGTAAAAAATTTTGCAATTTTTATTTTATTTTGGCAGTAAATATTCCAACTGGCAAAGAAGGCCCTACAAACTCTACAGCATCTGTAGACAAAGGGGGCTTTGATGAGTTCGACTTCCCTGTCCTGTCCCCTTTAGGATCCCTGGAAAACCTGTACGAATCCATCCTACCAAAACCAGAAGGAAACATGTTTCATTACTACGATCCTCCAACCAGCCCGAAAGTGTTGTGCCCTAATATTCCGTCTGACGGCTACTTAGAGCCTGTTCCACCCTTGACCTTGACCTCTGTCCCAGGGAGCTTACCCGCAGCATCTGCAGGCTTATCCACGGCTGCTCTCATCTCCGGTTTAACGCAGGTAGCGCCGTCTTCGTCAAACAGCTCATCCGCGAAATCTCCGCTAAAAACGAAAGGAGCGCCGTCAAAATTTGTGTCTAGAGAGTCTGTCTCGTCCGGCAGCGGCCACACAACTTCAACAAGCTCAAGTGAAGCGAACTCTACAGAAAATTCTGGAAACTCCTTGCCTGATTCCACGCAGCTGTCTAAACTTCCATCCCAGAATGGTCTGGGATCTAATTTCGTCGAACCGGAAATGACAGAACAAAGACGGCTGTTGCTGGCGTCGCAGCCTATTTACGAAGAAATTCCAAACGGGAACAATGAAGACGATGACTTGGAAGAAGCTGCTAAAACTGAGCTCAGGGACTCGCAGAAGAAGAAGAAAATGTCCGGGGCTAAGGAGAGCCCGGCGCTTTCTAGGAAACCAAGTCACGTAGAAGGATCAACACCTGGACTGTCCAGGAAACCAAGCATGGCTGAAGGCACCACCAACTTGCAGAAGATCATGCTGCCCGGGCTGGCCCCCGGGGGGGAGCTGACCAAATCTCAAATAGCCCACGCTTGGCTTCAGCAGCCTCACACTCCTGTTCCGCAAATTCCAAACGTTCCACCCCCTGCGTCGTCCTCATCATCATCAGCGTCTTCATCATTAACCGCGTCCGTCGTGGGTGCGCTACCCACCTCCCCGTCACACGTCACCTCCAAGCACAACCTAGCGCCGACTTCGCTCCACCTGACGTCAATGACCTCCTCCATGCTGTCAGTCTCCTCCCTCATGACGACCTCCATGACCTCCAGCATGCTCCCGCCCCCACCGCCCCCGCCCGACCACCTACCAGCCCCGCCCCCAACTGCCAGCCGATCTGTATCAAAGGAGACAGTGTCGTCTGAATCTGACACCCAGTCCAACTGTAGCACCTTGTCCAGACCCAGGCCGGCGCCTAGGAGAAAGCCTAAGAGACCTGACACAGGTGGATCTGACCAGTACGTCTCCATGAACAGACCAAACGCACAGGTGAGAACAGATTACATGGTAGTAAACTAAACCCAAATGGGACGGAGTGGTCTAGCGGTGGAGAGCTGGACTGCTAACCAGTAAGTCTCCAGTTCGAATCCGGGTTCTAATCAGTAGACCGTCCCTGAGTCCACCCAACTCTGATGGGCAGTGGTGTAGGCACGGGGGTGGGGGGGTCATAAACCCCTCCCCCCTCCCCATAGACCCCTCGGTATATATATATAAAGTATGAGGGGGGGTGCAAATCGAAAGTTTGAGGGGGGGTGTAAATCTAAAGTTTCTCCCCTGGTAAAAATTGGAACCCCCCCCCCCCCCCCCCTTGAGACGATCCTGGCTACGCCACTGCTGATGGGTACTTAACTCTGGGCATAGTGCTGACCACACTATCTCTTCATAAGCCGAGGTCACGGGAAACAAGTGAACTCTACTACACTTGCCCCATAGACCGTCTGGTTTGAAAGGGAAACTTTACTTACTTACTTTAAGCTAAACCCAACAGTGCAAAACAATGTTAACTATTTATGGCTGAGTGATAAGCAATAAACAAATATAGCAAAATTAAAGTGGGGACTATAAACAATGAACAAATATTGAAACAGTTAAAGAAAGGAGTATAACCAATGGAAAAGTATAGAAATTTAAAGCTTGGACTAACACCATTTAGAAACAGAGTATGGTCAATTACTAAGGTAAAACTAAACCGCTGTATAATTCAAGCCAAACCTAACAGTGCAAAAATTTTAGGAACCGTTAAAGCATGGTCAGTATCAGGAACTGTTTACTCTGTCTATTTATTTATACACATAACATTTGTACATAATCTAAGCTTCATTTGGGTGAACAGTTTTTATTGTTTTAAACAGTTTTTATTGTCATAAACAGATTTTACTGTCTTAAACCGTTTTTATTGTCATAAACAGTTTTTATTAAGTAGTTTTTATTGTTTATACAGTTTTTATTGTCTTGAACAGTTTTTTTTATTAAGCAGTTTTTATTATATTAAATAGTTTTTGTTGTCTTAAACAGTTTTATTGTTTTACTTGATTTAGAAGGTAGTACACCAGTATGGAATGAATTTTTTTATGTAATACACCATTATAACATTTTACAAAAGGAAAGTACTCAAAATAAAGCTTTTCTCCGGATGTTTTTTTTCTCAAGTTGTGTTGACTTTCAATACCCTAAAACAGCTATGACATTACAGCTGTATATTCTGTTTAATTCCAGGTGTCTCTCAGCGAAGAGAAACTCCGCGACGTCTTCACCAAAGTGACCAGCATCACGTTCCACGCCCTGCAGGATATCTACGCCCAGTGTGAGCGGATCCTGTTTGTGGACCGGCTGGACATACCCAACCCACACGTGCTCAAGTGGCCAGATTTTGACATCTACGGCCAGCCGCTGCATGCCTCGGGGCGATGCATCGTGTACAATGCCAAGTTTCGTGCCAACAGCTCACCCTGCCAAGTCATGGTACAGTTTACATTTGTTTTATTCTAAGATTAGGCCTACATTGAATGCAATCACAAGCAATCATGTTAATTAATTATTTCAGCACTAAAGCTTGTTGTGCATCACCATACGTTGGTTTTGTTTTTGTTCTATTGAAGTTTTTTTTTATATCCTTGTATAATTAAATGCTTTCAAAATTCTTTTTGTTAAATAACAATATTCAATATAATGCTTAGTATTTTTAACTCATGTGTTTAAAGTGTTACATAGTTTTAAAAAGCTTGCATTTCTTCAAGATCTTTGTAACGGCCTAGATATTTTCAGCTTTCTGTAATCATCTACTATCTCTTCCTATTTTCACCTATGATCTCCCCAATATTCTATGACTATGCCTCACACATATTATAATTTACTATCCACATATTCTCCAATCATTCCCCACAGATCATTTATTATTCCTCACTATCCCCCACACATCCTCCTATTATCAATTACCACTACTTCCACCCACACAATCTCTTATAATCTCCCACTATTCCCACCCACACAATCTCTTATAATCTCCCACTATTCCCACCCACACAATCTCTTATAATCCCCCACTACTCCCCCACACTGCTTATAATCCCTCACGCTTCCTCCTAAAAAACCCCACTACTCCCCAACACCTCTATAATCCCCCATTACCCCAACACACCTCTTATAATCCCCCACTATCCCCCACACCTCCTATAATCCCCCACTATCCCCCACACCTCTTATAATCCCCCACTACTCCCCCCACAGATCCTCCACTCACGCCCCGCCACAGAGCGCTGTACCACCAGCCACCCCAGCCTCCTGCGCCCCTCTGCCGTGTTTGCTGACACCATACCGTTCTCCTACCTGACCCCAGACTTCATCAAGACCTCTCAGCTGTTGCAGAACTCTGTCTATGATTCCAGTCAAGCTCGTTGTTTTATTGCTGTTGGTAAGAGCTGCTTGTGAGATTACTGTGATTGTGTGGGATAACTTAGGATTGTTTTAAAATCCGTCATGAATTATCAAATAGGCTTAAATTTTACTTAATTGAAATAAGAAATGAAAAATTGTGTTTACATTTGGATGTACTAATTATTAACCCTTTCTCTTATGCTTTACATTTTTTTATTGTGTTGTTAATAAATTCTTACCAAAATTGGATAGGGTATGCAGTGGGGAGGAGTATGGATGGATGGGCATTGTGCATGATCGCACAGGGAAGTTTAATTGGACGGTATTAATAACTGGCATGAAAAATTATGTATTATGGTACTTTTAACCCTAAGCCCAAATCTAACCCTAACCCTAGAAGCCTATCAGGAGTTGTGTATATGGCATGCGTTTAAATATTTAAATGTCTAGACATCAGAGATAGGTTACAAGAGGCTGAGCTAGACTTTTCACCAGTTCCCTTTTTACAGCAGTGACTGAGCTTATCTGTTTAGTTAAGTATTCCAGGCATTATTGAGTTTGCCTAGTTCAATACAAAGAACTTAAATATTTCCAGTTCTTTCTCAATCTCACTGGATAGCTCTTGTCAGCGGCCTATGTCCCACGACTGACAACAGGCAAACCTAGCCTAACTTCAATCTCACTGAGATCATATTTTTTCCCCAGGTGCTTTTGATGTGGTGGAGAGTTTAGATTCCCACCTTGCTTTGCTACGGGAGACCCTGGCACTAGACCCCACAGCTTACCTGAACATCATACTGACCGCCGCCCTGCAGCTGCTGAGTGCCATGTCCCACTGTCTTGACCAGGTAAGTCTTGTGCTAGTCTGAAATTGCCTTGTGTCTTAGACATTGCCTCATTGGACAATTCTGTGTATTGATTTTGTTGCTCAAACTTGCTTAAACATTTTTGTTTGTTTAACTATTTTCATTTTCTTTACAAGTCCATCACTATTTCTTAACTCATTTTTCTTAAATAATTAATCAGATTTAATGATTGAATAGGCCTATAATTTTCTGTTGTTTTTTTTTTTTGAGTAACTTAATACTTAATGAAATAATTTTATTTGATCTCTTTTAATGGAGAATTTCAGTATTTATTTTTTTTCTCGATTATTTTTTTCTCCCATGGATTCTCTATGGATTACAATACCAATTTTAACTTTTTATTTCATATCCATAGCTATTATGTTCATTACAATGGTTAAGAAACTTTAATTATTATTTTCATCATTACAGATTTACAGTATTTACAGATTTCTAACTTTTTATTTTTCTACATAGGGATTCACTGAAATGGACTACATCAGCTGTAGTAAACATTTTAAAATTTCAATGCACATCATTTTTATTTAATAAACAAGCTTCAGTTTTTTACAACTACCTGAATTGTTTTTTTTTCTTTTCAGGGATTCTCCGTAACCGAGACAGACTACAACGACGTGTTTCTCATCACAAGGTCGGACCTGCGTGGGAAAGTCGTCGCCTTCCTCCCCCATCAGAGATCCCTGGATGTGCCTCAAGGGGAGGCTATGTGTAATTTCTTGGACAGGCTGTTCCTGGATGCCATGCCACAGATGGATGAGGATGAGGATGATATGGATGAGGATGATGATGAGGAGGAAGAGTACGGAGAGAAGATAATCTCTGCTCCAAGGAAGGTTGTGGCGAGGCTGAGGTCGATGTTGGAGTCTAGACGAGTGGAGTGTTTAGGTGAGGTCCATTTTCTTGTAGAGTGGAGTGTTTAGGTGAGGTCCATTTTTTTGTAGAGTTGAGTGTAGGTGAGGTCCATTCTCTTGTAGAGTTGAGTGTAGGTGAGGTCCATTTTCTTGTAGAGTTGAGTGTTTAGATGAGGTCAAATTCTTTGTAGAGTGGAGTATTTAAGTGAGGTCCATTTTCTTATAGAGTGGAGTGTTTAGGTGAGGTTCATTTTTTTGTAGAGTGGAGTGTAGGTTAGATCCATTTTCTTGTAGAGTGGAGTGTTTAGGTGAGGTCCATTTTCTTGTAGAGTGGAGTGTTTAGGTGAGGTCCATTTTCTTGTAGAGTGGAGTGTTTAGGTGAGGTCCATTTTCTTGTAGAGTGGAATGTAGGTAAAGTCCATTTTCTTGTATGGGTCCATTTTCTTGTTGCTTGGAGTGATTACCTAAGGTCCAGTTCCTTTCCTTTAAGAGGGTGTGTTTAGTTCAAATTCCTTGTAATGGAGTGTAGGTGAGGTCCACATTCTTGTAATCTTGGAGTGTTTAACTAAGGTCGATTTTATTTCCATTAAGAGTGGTGTGTTTAGGTTAAGTCCATTTCTTCATGTACAGTGAAGGAAAAAAAGAAATGTTTGCTTTATAGAAGCATATGTGTAACCCACCATGACTGTTTTTAAATTTGATTCAACATTTTTAAAGGTCTGATTGTGTGACAAGTAAAGTTCTTTATTCAGACCTAAAAATTCATTGAGTAGAGTCCATATATTTTTAACCTAAGTATACAAAGAGAATGTTGGTGATCACTATGCCCATCTTTACTTTTATTTTTGCTAACATGAGTCAGGTACCCATTATAGCTGGGTGAACTCAGGGATGTCCTTCAGTCTTATCCAGTTGACACAAGAGTTTTATCTTCTTCTGTGTTCTTAATTGAATTAATGTTGTAGGATTTAAATAACAAGTCCCACTTCACAGGCTGTGGTCTCCAGATCTGCAGGGGCCCCAACGAGTTTTCTAGTAGTGTTTTACCACCCAACCATGCAGTCCCATAAATTTTCTTACAAAAATTATTTTAACTTTATTATTTTCGCACCCATTCCATGTGAAAAAAAACAATTTTAACAAATTTTTTTCTCCCCCACCAGGTCAAGTCAGAGCTTCAGTGGAGTATCTCCTATGGGGGCCAGCCACTTCAGAACTTCCCCTCTCCCCACACGGCACCGCCCAGAAATCTGCCGCTGGAGCCGCCACCACGGCTGTGTCCAGCGCCAGCAGGGAGCAGGAGCTGTACGTGTGGCTGGAGAAGGAGAGGGTCTCCACCATAGGGAGGCTGGCCCGCAACGTCTCCGGCCTGGGCGCCGGACTCACCCTGGAGGAGTTCTACACCCTCAAGTTCCTGCTCAAGTCCAGCGCCGGGTGCCTGGCTGAAAGTCTACGGAGGCTGTCAAGGTGAAGGACAGTTCATCTAGGTCAATGACAGTCAATCTAGGTCAAGGACTGCTGTGAGTCAAGGCGAAGGTCAATCTTGGTTAAGGACTGTCAATCTAGGTGAAGAAGTTAGTATACAGAAATCATCAAGGTGAAGGACAGCCAGTCTAGTTCAAGGAAAGTAAATCTAGGACAAGGTCAGTCAATCTAGGTGAAGGACAGTGCATGGTGCCTGGCTCAAAGTCTACTAAGTATACAGAGGTTATCAAGGTGAAGGACGGTCAATCTAGTGAAGGACTGTGGGTGCTTGGCCGAGAGTCTACGGAGGTTGTCAAGGTGAAGGTCAATCTAGGTTAAGGACATTAAGTCTTGGTCAAGAACAGTCAATCTAGGTGAAGAAGTTAGCTGGCAGTCTGGCATACAGTATACAGAGGTTATCAAGGTGAAGGACAGTCGACCGAGGGTAAAGTCAGTCAATCTAGTGAAGGAATGTGGTAGGTGCTTGGCTGAAAGTCTACTGAGGTTATCAAGGTGAAGGACAGCCAGTCTAGTTCAAGGAAAGTAAATCTAGGACAAGGTCAGTCAATCTAGGTGAAGGACAGTGCACGGTGCCTGGCTCAAAGTGTGCTGAGTTATCCAAGTGAAGGAATGTTAGTATAGGTGAAGGACAATCAATCTATGTGAAGTATAGTTAATCTAGGTCAAGTCCAGTCAATTAAGTTCATGGGCAGTCAGTCCAGTGTTGGGTGTCTGAATGAAAGTTTATGATGGTTAGTGAATCTAACACTGAATGTCTAGCTTATAAAAGAATAAATACTTTGCACTTTTTAACCATACATGGAGCTGAGATCAATAAATACTCAACACGTGTGGAAAAAATGTATACAGTTTTAAAACTCAGCTATAATATTTTATAACACACATTGAAAACATGTCTGAAAGATCTTTATGAGCATGTTTGTGTAAATTATATTTTTTTTTTTTTTTTGTATTAATTGTAATTTAATGCCTTTTTTGTTTTAGTTTTTAAAATCAATTTTACTATTAAGGTGAGGTTTTTTTTTTCAATTTTTAGATATTACTTTTGGCCCCTGTATATTTGAATAAATTACATCTCCTTACAGAATTTTTAAAGTTCAAAATACATTTAATTTTCTCCACAAATTATTTAAGTATAAATTGTTCTGTATCACTTACTACACTAAAAGCAAATACTTAAGTGTGAAATAGTGAGATAAGAATTCTGTATGTTTTTCCATAAAATTTGATTAAAATCATTGAATGATTGCAAATCATCTTCAGCTGTTTCTGTATTAACCCATTTGTTAATTCAACTTAACCCTTTGAGCCCGCCAGGCCGGTAAACCGGCTTCAACATTAGGCATATATGTCCGAAAAGCCGGTTTTCCGGCCCGATGATCTAGCGTCATATTCCTAGCGGCCGGTATACCATCTAATTAAATATAATTAGCGGAAGACTGACTAAAACTGCGCATATGTCTTTTTAGTGCGTGATTATGATTCTAAAAATAGATTTTAGGAAAAGTGAAAGTGTTTACATTTCGTAGCAACGCCGCCGAAACGAAAAGCTGAGCCACAGCCATCGACTTCATGCACATAAAGTTGGTGCAAAAGATGAAGCAAAAGACCGAAATATCAACAAAAGAAGTAGAATAACTGCATCTCGGGCAATACAACTACTTATTGATTCTGATGAAGAAGATAATATTCCTGGTCTATATTGTGATGATAGTGACGTTGAATTTGAGACTGGACACAGTGACATTGAAATTGACAGTGACAATGAATCTGTTCAAGTACGTTCTGATGCACGTGGTGTCAAGGACAAAGACTTGCCGAAACGAAAAAAAAAGTTTACTAGTGCAAAACATGCGAAGTTTTCCTTTGCATCGGGTCCGGCAGTGATAACTGTTTTGAAAGTTATCACACAAAAGTGGGCTTTTGGCGATGAGCTAGTATGGCCAGGTATCAATAATAACAAAACAATTACTAAATGTAAATTGGCTTCTTCTATGTTCTATCAAAACAATAATTATGTGTTCGTTTTATATACATTGTTCTGTTCAAACATTGTAAAAAAAGAAAAGAATTTCAGAATCTTGCTGCATTGTTGTTTGATCCCGAGTCTAGTTACCAAATTTGGCTTGATTATCTCAAACGGTTCAAAAGTTATAGGCAAAGTTAGAAGCAGATAAGTGAAAATCGGTTTGGGCCTGGGAGCTCAGGAAATAGGAGAAATTAGGTCAGGGAGGCCAGGGCTCAAAGGGTTAAGTCTATTTGTACTTCATTCAAGAATGAAATTAAATGTTAAAATGTATTTTTACATTTGTGTTTATCATTTTTATTTTGATCAAAGTAAATCTAAAACCAGCTGCTTAAAATAATGGAATAATGCATTAATTTGTTCAACTGTAGATCTATGTGTTGGTCTAATATTACATCATTTAAGTTATGAAATTTGATAACAATTTCTGTATAGTTACAAGATTTTTATTTTATTTTGATGTACGTTTGAAATCTAAAATGTTTTGTGCTTATAAGAGATGTGCTCAAAGGTTACATTAACTTTCACATTCATCTGCCATTAAACTTAGGGAGGCTGATAAATTACCTTTAAACTGAAGTTTTTGCTCAGTTTATTCTTCAAGGTATCGTATCAATTATAATTTTTTAATTAGAAAAATGTGTCCTGATTTCTGATTGGAATTTTTTTTTTAATATAAACTGGATTGGAAGAAAGTATGGAAGTTAGGTTTGTATGAAAGTGTAAAAAATGTTGAAAAATTAACATTTAATATTGTTTTTAAAAATTTGGATTTAAGTAAATGTTTGAAAATTTTATTGGATAAATGTTTAAGAGACTTTGAATAGATTAGTGTTGTGACTATATATTTTGTGTTATGTTTCTAAACTACATTATGTGATTTTATTTCCTGTGTTTTTTTATCTAAAAGCATGGTTTGAATTTTTCAAAATAAGGTATTTGTAATCAAACCCGACAGATAATGCTAAGAAAAAGAACGTAAATTATATTTATGCCCTGAATAAACTAATAAGCTAAGTTAAAAGAAAATATAAAATGCTTCATTTTTACTCTGTACAAATTTGTGGCAATTAATAAAATTTATTTAAAAAATTGTTACTAAATGTTTTAATATGCTAACAATCATCATTAATTTTAAAAGCTGCCTAATTTTAATTATATAGCTAAAGTTAATCACCTTATTACTGATGTTTTTAAATTGCTATAAACAACAAAAAGTAATTTTAACCCCATCAACCTACTAGACAAGAAAGCTATTATGTGATATTTTATTTATTTCCTTCAGTCATATCTCTTTTTCGATTGTAACTATTTGTTTCGTAATATTTACTTCTTTGTATTTGCATCCATACTTGTATACCCTATACAGTATAGAGAAATTAAAGCTAAAAAAAAGACAATGGTGGAAATTATATGTTTTTCATTTCCAAATTAGATCACAAAACAATACTATTACCAATCAGATGTTTTATTTTAATTTCATATCTGAAATTAAATTGAAAAAGCTACTTTCTTAAATTAAAAGGAACGTGTAAAAAATTCCTGTATTCTTTACTTGCACAAAGTCAAAGTTAGCACACGTACAGTTAATTTTGGTAAGATGAACAAATTGTAAACTATTTTAAATTTTATTTTTTATTTTTAAAAGTAATCAGTTGAGTTCTGATTACTTTACTTATATCCTAAAGATTAGGAAGTCAAAAATTAAAACTTGTATCCTTTATCTTAAAAATGCATTATTGCATCCTATGCCAAACTTGTACTATATACAGTGGTGCATGTCTGGGGGGGGGGGGGGACAGAACAAACACCCCTGAACCCTTTAAATAAAGTAAAAAAGCAAGTACCCTTTCAAACGTTGCAGTTCATGTGGCAGAGCTGACTTGTCTCAGTGACCCTGGCATATGAAGGGAACACTTTCAACACCCATCCCTTCCTGTAATAAAATCCTTTTCTCGTACTATTTTATTTAATGCAAAAACAGATTGCTTTTTTCTATGTTAAACAATTTTGCCAAGTCATTTTTTTTTTGTACAAATTTACTTTATGGTGCTGTGGTTATAATGTTTGAATACATTTCAGCTTGCCTTCTTTTATTATTGATTTGTTTTTACTGCACATTTTTTAATTTATTTGATTCGTGTTTTTTTTGTAAATTCTTGTTTTGCCGAAATACTATCGCAATTTATGTTTCTTCCCTATTTCATGGGGTTACACATTTAGAAAATACTTGTAGTAATAATTATTGATTCTGGTATACTATTTAACTAACAAGTACTTAAAAGTTGTTTCTTAAGAAAACTACTATTATATGTTCCATTAACAAATTAACCTTGTACAATGTCTGGGGTGAGTGGTATTGGGGGGGGGGAGTTAATAAAGGAAGGCAACTTTTTCTTCTAGATAGTTTTGCTAAAGGGAAGCAATAGTGTTGACCCTTGATTGATTTGCATTTTCAATGTAGTGGTATATTACAAAATTCAGATTTCTCTTAGGGAATACCTTCTAAGTACATGGTATTATATTTTTTTTCTATTAAAAAAATTATTTAACCAATGAATATACCTGACATGTAAATATATAATTTCAATATTGATGCACAAAGTCTTAGCAAAATTTTCAAGTTTTATGCTTTGTTTTGTTTCATAGAGCTCAGCAGGTGTGTTGTTTTAAATTCCACTTTTTAAAGTTAACGTCATGTGTAGGCCTACTTAATTTCTGTTTTGATCACTAACTAATATGTCCATTATTATTTGGAAAGAAAATGATATAATTTTATTGAGCTTTTTTACTATAATAATAGTACAATTATTATAGTTTTAGTTGTATAAAACAGTTTTTATTTAGATCTGTTTCATGACTTTAATTAGGCGTAATTCTTTTTATCTAACACCAATAGTATTTAACAAACTCAGTCATGTCCAGTGCTATTCAGAGCAATGCAATTAGGATTGTAGACTGAATTATATGCGATACAAAAACTATGTGAAATAGTAATAAATTAAACACTCTTATGAATATATTATTCATTATAGGGCCTAATGGTCAGCTAAGTACTTAGGCCTACTAGTTTCTTACTCTTTAGAGTGCTTTTACATTACATTTTTTACATTTAATTAAATGATTTTTTTAGTGGTTTTACAGTACATATTTTAACAATATTTTATAATACAAGCAGTAATATTTGAATTTTTGAGACAATTTGTATACATAAAGACATCTTCTAAGAAATATAAAACTTTGGCTTGTTTATAAGAATTTGTGTGATGTCACCTCAGCTGTCAAGGATTAAACCGTAGTAGTGGATTACTCTGAGATAAGAATTCAAGTATTATTTTCTAACCGGTGATACAGTAGCAGGCTGAACATTTACTGCATACACCAGGGATTCTAAAATTTAATTTTCCTGAGCCCTGTCTTAATAGATTTAGCCTTAATTATCGCAAGTAACCAACACCAAAAACTTGAGTAATTATGATTTATTAATTGTTTTTTAAATTAATTAATTATTCGCCAAACAAAATATACTGATTTTGAAAATGTTTACATTTATTTTACTTAACTTGGATTTAAATTTATGCAGCTTTGTTCTCAATATGAAATGTAAACAAGAAAGTTAACATTTAGACATATCAAAATATACAGTGTCTTGGCTTCCATGAATGTTTGTTACCGTGAAAAAGTTAACAGAAAAAAAACACGTGTGAATGTAATTTACTTGTCTGATTCATGTACCAAGCTAATTTAGTATGAGGACGTAGTGTTAAGTTAGT